CAGGGCTGTTAGTCCAGAGCAGTGATCCAAGCCAAGAGGCAACAAAATCGTTTCCTAGACCGGAAAGGGTCAGGAAGCACAACCTGCTCACCCCGTATAGAAAGCCCGTGTACAGCACACCGTATGTTGTCACCTGTCTTTACCGCCTACCCCCAGCCTTTGGGAGCCCCACACCTCCCAGGCAGAAAGGCTACATTTTACCCAGAGCCACTCAGTCCCTCCACCTTCACCAGGATCCCAGATCTGCCTTCTGGAGACAGCCCAAAGAAGCAGAACCTCTCCAGACTGCTTAAATGTCATCTTTGAGGCTTAGTGAACATGTGGAAGCAGCATTTTAGGAGACCTGCAATGCCTTTCCTGAACCCCTTGAACTAGTCCTCACGTTCCCACCCATCTGGCTCAATCATAAGGCATGTGAGGCTTCTCTGTGTCTGGGGCAGTCTGTGTGTTTCCTCTTCTGTCGCTCTACCTGTCTCCTTAGCAGTGAAAATAGAATCCCTTCGCTAAGTGCAGAAATACATTGGACTTTTCAGCCTCCCTCCTGCACCACTCCCCTTGAATGAACCTGCTGAGAGATCAGAAAATGATTGAGCTCCTGCCTGTTTGCTTTGTCTGCCTGTCCAGGAGAGCCTGGAGGCCACAGGCTGTGGAATCAGCAGGTGCCAGTGCTCCTTGGGCGGCCAGAAAGCAGGATTTATGTGAGGATCGAGAATGGGGGGAAAGGCTGATTTTAGAGGAACAGCCCACTCCTTCCCTAGTCTTGTTTTGTTTTCAGGTCCTCTGTGCCTACTGGATTGGAAGGAAACATGATCAGGTCCCCAGCAATAGAAAGGCCACAGCGCCAAGCCCTTTCTCTCTGTTCCTCGAAGTTTACTAGTAAAAAGTATAATTTATTGAGTTTTTAGCATATATGCAAGACACTGTATTCAGAATACCGGTATTAGTATTCCCATCTTTAAAATGAGGAAACGGGGGCTCAGGGAAATTATTTGCTCAAAAGGGATTTGGTAACACAGGGACACAGGGAGGCGCAGTCGGTTGAGCGTCTGACTCTGGGTTTCGGCTCCAGTCACGATCTCGAGCTGGGGGGATGGAGCCCCACATTGGGCTAAATGCTCAGCATGGAGTCCGCTTCTCTCCCTCTCTCTCTGCCCTTCCCCCAGCTCTCGCTTCTGCTCTCTTTCAAATACATAAATCTTTTTTTAAAATTAGGAAGCTAATATGTAGTAGAGCTAGAATTTGAACCCAATGCCAAAACCCATGCTCCTCCTATGAGGTGATTTGTCTCCTAAGCCCCAGCGTGAGTAGGGCTGGACTCCAGGGTTGAAGGCAGATGCACCTCTCTTCCCTGAAATCTCAGAGGTGCCGGCACCCATGCACCTGCCTTCACTCCTCTCCTCTAAGGACCCCACAAGCACAGCATTCAAAGATGTGGGATGCAAACCTTAGCCCACTCCCCCCCCCCAGCAGAGTGCATACACCATAGCCCAGCAGCTTCTCACTTGAAGCGGCTGCCTCTGGGGAAGGAGTGGGGTTAGGGACCGGACCTCCGCACACCTTGCTAGGAGCTGTGCTTCAGAAGGGGTCCCCAGAGCTCATCCTAGAGAAGAGGCTGCTGTTGACCATCCACCAACTGGGATAAAGTAGGCAACAGCAAGGCCAACTGCCCTGTCACCGGCGGCTCGGACGTGTGGTAGAGACCGCTGCGTGAGGTCAGGAACCAACCCTCCCCAGGGAGAACACCGAAGTGACTGTTGGAGGAGGAGGAGAGAGGATGTGGTGGAAATAGTCCAGACCAGAACCCAGACCCCCACCCAGACCCCCGCTCTCCCTCTAACCGGCTTCTGCAGTTGTGTGATGCACTTTCCTGTTCTCAGACAGATTGCAGAGTGGGAGAGTGAGGAGGGGGACACAAGGGTAGGGGCAAGAGACAGAAAGAGGGGGAGAGAGAGGAACTGGATGTGCGTGTGTCTCTGGGGTTTTTCAGACAAAGCTATTATCAAAATGCCAACCGGCTCCTGCCTGGCCAATTTGCATATTCCATGCTGTGCTCTTTGAAGCAGGATGAATATGCATGAGGGCTTGGGCGGGGTGTGGAGCTGCTGGGCTGTGGGCTAAGGTGGCTCATTGTTCTTTTCAAAGGAAGGCATTGATATGAAGCCAAGGCACCTCTCTGGTCAGCAGAGTGGCCTCTGCTTCCCCTCCCTCACGAAGGGAGGGGGAAAGCAAAGCGGAGGCTCAGACAGAAAGCCTGGCGACTATCCGCTCATCCTCTCTGGAAATAAATAATCAGGCGCCATCAAGAACGCAAGTCTTTTCTCCAAGAGCAGCATTTAATTACGCTGCCCTCCACGCATGCTAATCACGGAGGCTGGCTTGTGGTGGGAGTCACCTCTCCTGGCCTCCGGGGAAGCAGGGGCTGCCTCTGCCCATTCTGTGCTCCTGCAGCAGGGCAGGCTGGACACCCCAGGTGCTCCCTGCCCTTGGCCTTGGGTGAGGCCCCCAGTGCCGCAGTGTCTGGGTGAGGAGGAGGCAGGGCCCTGAGGGTGCTGGGAGCGGTCCGGGAAGGCCTGCGTGCCCATCAGAACCGGATTCATGGCTCCTCCTGAGATACCAGCAGGATGGCTCCTCCCTGACCATCCACATCTCGTCTTCCCCGGCCACCAGCCAGACACCCTCCAGACCATCCGGAACAGATAAAACTCTATTTCATTTTTCAAAGCCAGTTTATCCCCTAAACATCGGGGCCACAACACTCTCCCCTGTTAGCTTTCCCGGCTGAGCTGTCACATCTGGGTCCCTCCCGAAAGAGAGACAAGGGTAGGGAACGTTTGGAAAACAGCTTTGTGTGAGCAGGACTGGGTGTTTCGACCCCACATAAACGATGACTGGAGCGTCCTTACCAGGTCGTGGTCACGTGACCCTTGGCTCAACCCACGCGGGGCGCCATTCGCTGGAAGGAACCGAGATGGACTTGAGTTTGGCCATCAGGGCCAACCGCAGACCCAAGGGCCGGTCGACCTCGGGGTGCCGCCTCCGCGCTTCTACAACCGGAAGGACGAGGCGCGGTGAACGCGGGGAGCGGGGAACCGCGTGCACTTGGAACTGCACCTGCGCTCAACCGCAGCCTCCTCGCAAAGCTTCTCCAGACCTTGAGGCAAACACGGATTGCCTGGAGAGCTTGTCTCTCACGGGCAGCGCCGTGTTGTCGGCGCTGCTGGTCTGGACACCACATGCCGAGCAGGAGCGAGGATAGAGGGAAGGACAGTGCAAAACCATGACAATGGGACCGAACATTCCCACTAAGACTGCTTGCTGATGGGGACAAAAGGCGGGAAGAGAGGGACCACTGTCCCCACCTTTCCCCGCTCACCTCCTCTAGCTGGAGCACATCCCTGACACTTGGGATTTATTTTTAACCGCCAGCAGCTTTGATTAGCTTGTCTCTGCTGCCTCAGACACCTGCTGGCAGGATGCATGGGGGGAAGGAATGGCTGACCCAGATCTGACAAATACAAGGCAGGAAGGAAAGCTCTGGAGGATTCTCTGCTTCCCTTTTGCTGAGGCGGGTGAAAAACCCCACAGCCGGCAAATAACCTGGTGCCCCCCTCCCCCTGCCCCACCGTGACCCCTGGCATCCTTGACCACAGTGCCAGTGAATACAGAACTGCAGTCATCCCTTTGTGCCAAAGCACTGGGGCTCATGCCAGTGTGTTGGCCCCTGAGGGTGTACACAGGAACCCGTCCCACCCCCCAGTAGCCAGGCCTCCACAGGTGTAGACATACTGCTCTAGGTGGATGCCTGAGTTAGACCTGTAGGCACAGGGGCAGCTTCCCTGGAGGTGGAGGGCCCCCCCCTCACCCCAAGGTAGGACAGCTCCTGCTCGGTGGTCCTGCTCCCAGAAAAGCAGGGGCCCAAGAAGTGAGAGGCGAGGCATTCCATTGTCATCCACATCGACCCGCAGCCTTCTGTGGGGTTGCCCACATAATAAAGTCTGGCTTTCCGTTTGGCATGTTTGGTTAGAGCAAACGCCGTATGAAGAGTGAGTGGAAAGGGGCAGCCTGACTCCACCCCTTCCGACAGTCTCTGCTTGCCAGTCTCCTCACCCGTAAAACCTGGGCGACACTATGGCCTCCTGCCACGGAGGCTCGCTCTGATGTGAGACTCGGTTACGATGGGATAGTGTCAGTGGCAGGCACATGGCAAGGGCTCGATAAAGGTTTTTAAGACAGAGCTGTGGAGGGGCACCTGGGTGAGCTCAGTCGTTAAGCATCTGCCTTCGGCTCAGGTCATGATCCCAGGGTCCTGTCATCGAGTCCTGCATCAGGCTCCCCGCTCAGCAGGGCATCTGCTTCTCCCTCTGCCTCTGCCCCTCACCCTGCTTGTGCTCTCTTGGTCAAATAAATAAATAAAATTCAAAAAAAAAAAGAAGAAGAAGAAGAAGAAGAAAGAAAGAAAAAAGACAGGGTTGTGGGAATTCATGGGGCTACTGTTATTCAAGCCAGAAGATGGAAGCCAAGTTCAGGTTGTGGCAAAATCAAGGCAGCATGCTGGTAAGAAGACGGCAGTCATCAAGGCTGACATTGCTGCCACCAAGGCCAGGACAGCATCCAGGAGTTGGGGCGCAGGACCTCTGGGGCTACAGAAAGGGCAGGGGAGGGTACGGTCAGCCACAGGACACCACTCCCCAAGGTCACTGGAGGTGTTCAGGCAGAGCCGCAATCCCCCGAGCTGGGATGGCTTAGCACAGCTGACTCCCTCCAGCTCCTGAGCCTCCAGGTCGCCATGGAGGGGCTGGTAAGGGCCGGGTGGCCATCTCAGTGGCAGGTATGGGCTGTTCCTTGAGACCCTCTTTTATCTGCTAATGTCCCCGTGGCCCCTCTAGTCTGACACCCCCACCACCAGCAGTTCCTCTTACACATTGCATGTCTCCCTTAAAGTTGCCACGCAAGATCCTGAGGGCCTGTGGATGGCCTCCTCCTTCTGACTGTACCCGTGGGCCCCACCTCAGGGCCCATGCTCGGGTCCCTCAACACCCGGTCATCTGCTGTGAGCCCTGGAACGTCAGGTCAAGGCAGTCCCACCGCCGCCTTTCTCTCCAGGGTTGACACACCACGCTCCAGAGCCCATGAAGAATATTAATTAAATGAAGGTTTATTTCAAAATTAGTCTTAGAGTGTAAGCTGTTTTCGAGGGCTGGAGCCAGACTACACAGTGAGCGGGAGGGCGCTTGCCTTCCTCCGCCGCGGGCGGAGAGGCGCCTCCCAGCCCTGCCCCTCGGTCATGCATCCAATGATCACTAGGACTAGAAGCCAACAGCAAAGGACCCCGCGCGCTTGCTCATGTTTAATCCAGGTTAAGCTATACACGTTTAAATACACGTCGGAGGTTACGTGGTGTCATGCAGTCCCTGGGTTGGAATGACTCTTGCTCCGTGACCTCCGCGGCAAGGCTGCCCCAGAGGGCAAGGTTAGGTAGGACAGAGCACTGCAAAGAGAAGGAGAGAGGAGAGAGGTCAAAGCCCAGCGCGAGTCAGGACCTGCCAGTCCAGGGGGGGCCCGGCCCAGAGGCGGACCCGTCCTGAACAGAGAGCCCCCCGCCCCCCTGGGACCCAGGGAATGACTGCCATCACATGTCTTCCTTCTGGAAGAAGGAAGAGACGACGGGAAGGTGGCCGCCTGGTGCGCCTATCTGGTCTCTGGTGCTTATCTGCCTGAGTTCAAGCCCTGGATCCGGCCTGTGCTAATTCTACGACCTTGGGGAAATGGCTCCACATCTCCGCGCTCGGTTCTCCATGTGTACAACAGACAGTGCCTCTGCCTACCCCACAGGGTTGTTCAGAAGCAAACAGAAAGTGCTCAGTAAATGTTAACTAGTTTTATGAATTCACTGACATTTCCGTGGATCGCAGTGGAGAAAGGGGTCCAGCCCTTGGGCTCCCAGACTTACCCAACCCATTTCCACAGACCTCCTTTGAGAAATTGGCTTTGAAAGCCTCTAAGAGGCAGAAGTTCTTCCCATTGTTTAGCCTGAAGTCCTCCTGCAGAAAGTTAAGACTAATCTTTCTGATCCTTATGGAAACAATACCACCCAGAGGTTCTTATCCGAGATCCGCAAGCCTACTGGAAGCGTACCCAGCGTCGCATGTGCTTGTGGACAAAGCCGAATGAAATCAAGAGTCCAGATAACGGATGACCATCAGTGGATACTGTTACAGCCTGAGGGTCCGGGGCCCCCAGCCAAATTCCCGTGTGCGGCTGTATTTGGAGACGGAACCTCTAAGGAAGTGATCGTAAATGAGTCACAGGATGGCGCTCTGCTCTGATCGTCCTTATAAGAGGAGACACCAGAGAGCCCTCATTCTCTCCCTTCACGTGCACACAGGACAGGCCACATGAGGACACAGCGAGAAGGTGGCTGTCTACAAGCCAAGAAAAGAGCCCTCGCTAGCAACTGGATCTTCTGGCATCTTGATCATGGACTCCTAGCCTCTGAAACTGTGAGAAAACACATTTCTGTTGTTGAAGTGATCCCCCCCCCAACAATACCCCCTACCCCCGGTGCTATTTTGTTGTAGCAGCCTGAGCAGACTAATACAGATATTAACATCACAGAAAGAAAGACAACCGGAGAATATGTGTCTCTTAATGGAAGTTCAGCGCCACTGATCATGTAATGCTTATCAAAAGATTTGAGACTGAGTCTGATCCAGCCTCTGGCTCTGCCAGCTAACAGGAAATACGAAAAATGGAAGAACATGTTAAATTAAACCATGGGGACACAACTGACAAGCAGAAGCCAAAACAAGGAAATTCTATGGGGCAAATAGCCTGGTTTCTCCAAGAAATAAATTTCAAGGAACGAGAGGAAAGGAAGGGGAACCTGTATATATATAAAAAGAGACTCAGGAGAGATATTATCCAATTGCAATGTATGGGCTCCCCTTGGATCCTGATTCAAACAGATGAGAAAATGTAACAGGGAAATGTGAGCACTGATTGGACAAAGATATTGAGACTTTTTTTATTTTTCTAGTTGTGATAACAATATTGTGGTTAGGTTTTTGAAAAGAGTCTTTATGTTTTAGAAATGTACACTGAGATACTTATAGATTAAGAAAACTGATGGTTTGGATTTGCTTCAAAATCATACGGAGGGGAGAAGCTGGGTAGGGGTGTGAGTGAACAAGATAGGCCACGAATCCATGGTCGCTGAAGCAGGACAAGTACATGAGAGTTCATTATTCTCGTCACTCGGCTTTTACGGATGTTAACAGCTCCCTTAATAAAAGATGAAACAAAAGTCGGGAAAGGATGTAGCTAGGCATGATTTCAAGCAGCTGAGACCAGTAAATGTAGCCCCGGGCTCTGTTTTTTCCCTATGAAATAGCCTGAACTCTCCAGAACTTTCACAATCAGGCTCGTGCTGGTTCCGCAGCTCTAATGTGGAGTTGCTCTGGTGCCTCCAGGGAGAAGGAATCCCCTTCTCAGGCCTCCTGGCAACATGCAAAGACAAAACCCCATTCCTGGGAGGCCTCACAATCGCCCACTGGAGGACCCTGGCCCTGTGCACCCAGTGCCATCTGGCCTGGCGGGATGCTCTGGGAAGGCTGAGGAACATAGCAGGTTCCCTGCCTTCAGCGGGAAGTCTTGGGGAAGGGAACCCCAGGAAGCCCTGCTCCGGGGGCCCCGTGGGGCTGCTCTCACCTTTTAAAATGTAGTCCGTTAGCAAAGTGGGCACCTTCTCATTATCCTCCTTCATGGCAAAGAGAACTAAGGAAGGAGAGAGAGAGAGAGAGATGAGCCAAGATGCCAGCATGGCATAAAGGTCACTTCTAGACTGACAACTCACCAACCCAGAGTGAGAAAGGAAACCAGACATCACTGAGTATGGAGCAAACATCTAGAAGTTTCTGTCAAGCATCAGCACTCCACCTGCTGATGGAGTAGAATACATCCAAAAATCAGAGTGGCCTGTTGGTGACTTTATTTTCTTTTATCTTTTACTTTTTTTTTTTTTGCTCATCTATAATCTCCATGTTATTTCCTAAGTATCTCTCTTTAATAAGCATGAAAAGAAATAAAGCAATTAAAAAAAAGAATCAGCTTTCAGATGCAATCTAAATGTTAAGAATAACAGTCATCCCATCATTGAATCAGCAACAAAACTCTTTAAAGACATTCCATGCATGTAAACAGATACTGGAAAATTTTCTCTGATTATGATTATAAATCATTATTCCTATTTATTAATAACAAATGAACTTATTTTAACACGTGATTTTTTTTCTGTTTTATGCCCACCACAGTGCTAGAATTTGTGGAAATGCAAAAGACTTACGGACCCTCAAGGAGCTCATAGATTCCTCATTGAGACTCCTGATGATTTACACACATACAAGGCAAACAAGAGGGAAGTTATGAAAGCGTAAAGGCTTTTCTTATAGAAGTTTTGAAAATAGTTTTTTCTGTTATTAAACGAGGTGCCGCTTTCTCATGTTCATAATTCATATTGTGGAAGTCAGCTCTGTAGAAAATCTTTTAAGAATGTTGTTGGACTTTGTTTACAATATCAAAAAACACGGGCAGGAGAGAGTGCAGGATTTTGCATCACACACGGCTTTAAAGAAGCCACGGTGTATCTATCCCCCGTAGTCTTAGAGACCTCTGTGAAAAAGGAGAGAGATTCATGGGTACAAGACATATTTACCCGTGAAGCAAGAAGGCTGCAGGGCATCGTGGATTAGCTTGGGAATGAATAAATAAATGCTAATATTCATAGAAAAGGTCTGGAAGAATGTGCGTGAATCTGTTAAGACTGATTATCTCTGGGTGCGAGACCACAGGGGATGTTCCTTTCTATACCCTATTTCTGCAGGGTCTGGTCTTCTTCAATGAGTACGTTTTGCTTTTCTGCAAGCAGAGAAAGCAAGAAAGGTCAGCCGGCACCGGCCACCAGGAGGAGGCAGCCTCGGCAGTAAAGGGGACGGATCTCCATCCTGTTCTACGGCTCAGCTCTCTCCTGATACCTCTGCCTCGCTTCACTTCGGCGTGAGTTAGTGGCCAGGTCCCGGGGCAGGAAAGAGCCTGGAACTGGGGCCCTCCAGGTCTTGGTTTCTTTTATTTCTTCTGTAGTTTTAGATGTGTATTCATGTCAACCTAACAGGCTGCAAGGACTTTACAAGTGAATATGGGCGCACCAAATGCCACTCCAAGAAGACAGCTCTGGGGGGCGCCTGGGTGGCTCAGTGGGTTAAGCATCTGCCTTCGACTGAGGTCACGATCCCAGGGTGCTGGGATCGAGCCCCACCTCCAGCTCTCTGCTCAGTGGGGCGTCTCTTTCTGTCCCTCCCCATGCTGATGCATGCTCTCTCCCTCTCTCTCTTTCTCAAGTAAATAAATAAAATTCTAAAAAAAAGAAGAAGAAGAAGAAGAAGACAGCTATAAAAATGCAACCCTTGTTTTCAGCCAATATGCATCTAAGTTTATTGCCAAAATCCAAAATGTATAGGAGTTGTCTGGTCCCAAGAGCTGGTCCAGGGCCTGCACCCTTGGTTCAGGAATAAAGAAGAGACATTCACAGAGGAATGGCCAAAGGACTGGCCAAAAAAAAAGAAAGCTTTTATAACCTGCTGCAGAATTCACATTCAGGAAAGATGGCAGTTTTTTCTTTTAAAAAGAATAAAATATTGGAATGTGGTGTACCCACATGATAGAAGAGAGAGCCATAAAAAGAATGTTAACCAAATGTTAACTGATATGACTAAAATCATGATAGAAAATTTTATAGCCAGTATAATCCCAAGTATGTGGAGAAGACATAAAACATTATGGCTGAAAACACCAAAATAGTAACCACGGTGGAGGGGACAATGAATTATTTATTTTCTTTTGTTCACTGTTCTGTATTTCCAAACTATTCTAAATGATGGAAATACTCCAATTAAAATTTTCTAAACGGACCTGAAACATGTAAATAAACCCACAGTTTCTTAATTAAAATGAAAGGATTTCACGCTGAATTCCTGAATGGGTATCTGTAATAAATTTATAGCTCTTCCTTTAAAAAAAAAAAAACCATGATTGAGTACTTTACATATATCAACCTTCATAATCTGTCCAAATTATTTTCCAAATGCTTACTGCTTGTGAAAACACAAACACCTATAAATGTCAGTTCGTTTCTGTCTGCTCCCTTGGAAAAAAGTCTTAGTGCATATTTATGCAAATAGAGGAGTTTAAAAGGAGTGAAGAAGATGCCAAGGTACTTTGAATTGAAAATTCCAGATTCTCAAGGACGCTGTATCCATGGATGTGGCCAGGGTTTCTGTTTACCAGAACCGCCTGCTTCGGTCCCCAGATTGATTAACAATGACAATGTTCGGTCACCTTTATAGCCCGGGGTGGGGGGAGGCGGAGGGGAGCAGCAGGTGTCTGTCTGCCTCTGCAGAACAGAAGAAGCTCCTCTTGCCCTCCCCCGCGCTAGCCTGATGCTCAAGCCCTTCCCTCCCAGGCAAAGGCAGGGCGCCCCTGGGCTGGACAGGCCCGGTGACTCTGTCACTCCGCGCAGTTCACGGTTGCCAGGGAGATGGACGTTCCTGTGATTCACTGCGCCTGCCACCCCGTCACAGCCTCAGATTTTTCTCTTCCTAAAAGAATCAGGCTGACACTGATGGCTAATACCAAGAGCCCCCAGCCTTTTGGGGGTTGTTGTGTTTGATGTACATGAAGAGATTTTGCCTACAGAGGGCTCTTTGTCACACACGGGTTTCTCCCATCACTCAGGATATTTGTTAATATTTGACAATAGAGCCAAAGCAGAGGAGAGGAGGCAGTCGTTTCCTGGAAGGAAAACTATTCTTTCCTGTCCCCCACTCCTGCCACCCAAGAAACCTTGCTGCTCCTTAAAAAATGCAGCCAGCCCCATCCACCACGCCTCCTGCTGTGGGGCCATAGGTGGGACAAAGCAACAGCAAGCTGTTGCCAAGAGAACAGACAAGGTGGAGAAGGCAAGGCTTTGAGCACTGTGGGGTGAGCCCCCACCCGCCCCCAACCTCTTCCACCAGCTCATTCCTTCCTGGCAAGGCTTTGCCCTTTACAAGGAAACAGCGACACAACAAGATGGCTCTGGGTGCCACTGCAGAGCACTGTAGCTTTGCCCCCACTCAGGGGAGGAGTGACACAGGGACACGGAGCCCGTTCCCACCCATCTAACGCTGCCCCTCATGGGGAGGGAGGGATGGGAGTGGGCGACCCGTCTCTCTGAGGATGAGAGGAACTCACTGTTTGTCAGCATCTGGAGATCTTCCACTGACGGGGGCAAGGCCTTCTTCTCATAAGGGATGACCGTGTTCAGATACTACGAGACAAACATACAAACATGCCAGGCAGGGCTGGAAATACAAGTGTGGTCCCTCCGAGGGTGAGATGTGTGGACAATTCGCACGGGGACTGTGATGGTCTCTCCCCAACGTGCTCCATGGAAGTTGACAGGCACAGCAACACCCATGATGCTCTGCACACCCCTGCCTCGGGACCCCTTCCTGTCTCTGGCGAAAATCCCTGAAAGGGGCGCCTGGGTGGCTCAGTGGGTTAAAGCCTCTGCCTTCAGCTCAGGTCATGATCTCAGGGTCCTAGGATGGAGCCCCGCGTCGGGCCCTCTGCTCAGCGGGAAGCCTGCTTCCCTTCCTCTCTCTCTGTCAAATAAATAAATAAAATCTTAAAAAAAAAGAAAGAAAGAAAGAAAGTCCCTAAAAGTAAGACTTTCCCATATCAGCCCTCCATTCCATCAAACACATTCTTCGGACAACCAGAAGCTCCTGGATATTTAGGAATCCTGGGGAGTTTTTTCTCCTTCAGGCTGAGCGCAGAGAACATTCTAAAGGGAGATTATACTTTTGTGTGCTTGGGCAGGCAATATGAAATCGAACAATCTCTCTTTTGTCAAAAATGACGGGGGAGAGACCCTCAACCCCACCCTTGGTCTTGGACGTTGGGTTTGCTCCCTCTGCTGGATATGAGGTGCTTCTACAACAAGATCATCTTGGCCCCGTGGGGCCCAAGAACAGGGTGCCCGAGAGATCCTGAAGGTCGGGCGGTGGGAGGGGGTGGGAGGGGTAGCCTGGGGGACTGAGTGAGAAGAGCTGCAGCTCAAACACCAGAAGACTTCTTTTTTGGTCTTGGTTCTGCCCCTAGCGGTGGGGTCTTGAGAGAAGACCTAATCTCTCCAGATCTTAGTTCTCACAGCTACAAAATGAGGGGAGCGGGTTCCATGTTCCCAGAATGTCCTCCCGTGCCGCAGTGCCATAATTCTCACCCTTAGGATTCAGCTACAAAGATGTCTAACACGTACACAATTACGTGCGCTCTCTCCACGATCTCAAGCTTGTCCCTTCTATCAGATTATGCACTTCATGAGCGCAGAGCCCAGGACTTACTCATCTTTGCCCCTAAGGGCTTGGCAACAGCTCAAAACAAAACAAAACAAAACAAAACCCAGTTCACCCTTTAAAAGACACTGTTCCTTCTTAAGAGTGGAAGAAGATGATGGGGCACCTGGTGGCTCAGTCGGCTACGTGCCTGCTTTGGCTCAGGTCACGATCCCAGTATCCTGGGATCAACTCCCGCATCGGGCTCCCTGCTTCTCCCTCTCCCTCTGCCCACACCCCACTGCTGCTCGCGCTCATGCTCTCTCTCACTCTATCCGAAATAAACAAGTTAAATTTAAAAAAAAAAAAAAAAGAAGGGGGCACCTGGGTGGTTCAGTGGGTTAAGCCTCTGCCTTCGGCTCAGGTCATGATCTCAGGGTCCTGGGATTGAGCCCCACATCAGGCTCTCTGCTCAGCGGGGAGCCTCCCCTCTCTCTCCCTGCCTGCCTCTGTACCTACTTGTGATCTCTCTCTCTCTGTCAAACAAATAAATAAAATCTAAAAAAAAAGAGGAAGAAGAAGAAAATGAGTGGAAGAAGATGGTAAACCTCCCTTTGCCCGAGGGCTGGGATAATTCTAGTGAATCACCACACCCTGTTCTGCAGGGAAGGCTAGGGGGCAAGGGTCAGGAGGAAAGCTGGGAGCCTGGGAATTGCAGGTACCTGTTTGTCCGTCCCTGAGGAGCCGAAGGTCTGGCGGATGCCGCTCTGCAGAATGTTGGAGATGCCTTCCATGCTGAAACGCTGGGGAAAGGATGGGCGGGGCTCAAGAACGAATGCTTCCTGCTCCATAGTCATCGCTCCCCGGGGACTTGGGTGTCCTCCCTAAGCTACCCAGACCCGCCGGCCTCCCCCTGTCCCAGATAACACCTGGGCTAACCAATGGGCCAAAACTTAAGGCTGAGCTTTGCAAGAACCAACAGTCGAGTCTCAAAGACTCTTATCTTAGTCAGTCCCTCGGGGCAATGGGTCTCCCTGCCCTTCCCTGGTTTCCTCCCTTCAGCCTCGTCGTGGACAGGGAATAAAGCAGGCCCGTATGCCTAGGACAGACGATGACACAGCATCTTAAAGGGGAAAACAAAATGTCCGGCCACTGGGAAGGGCAGATGTAATTAAAGCTACTTTTTGCAACCCCCTCCCGCCATCCTAAGGAGAGCAGTCAGGATGAGTAGCCCGGATGCTAACCTGAGTCCCAGGCACAGCGCCCCTCAGTACTAACTGTCTTCCCCCCTCTTTCTAAGGTCTTGCCTCAGGGAGCACAGGCCACACACAAGTATTTTCCAGTGTCCACGTCCAGTGTCCCCCAGCCAGACCGATGTCCTCAAGAGGAGGAAAGAGAAAGGGGGGCCGCCTTTCTCTTTACAGCCCTACTGTTTGCCCACGGTCCTGCTCACAGCCCCTGCTCAGTCCAGGTCTGCTTACGGGTCCTGCGCAGGCTTGGTACTGGGGCTGGACATGGCGAGGACCGGAGGCCGGGCACACCTCCTCTGCCCGCGGCGGGGCTTCACGTACCTTGAGAGGCATCTGGTTTCCCTTCTCTATCCGGCTGCTCTGCAGGCTCAGACCTTTCTCTTTCCGCCTCTTCTTCATCAGTTCCCGCTGCTCCTTCTGCTTGTTCTGAACCTCGATAAGCACCGTGATGAAGGAGTTCTTCACTTCCTTCTCGAACTCCAGCTCGTCCCGGCGGGCCAGCTGCTGCACCAGCTCCTCTGAGAAGTCCCGGATGGCGCCCTCCACCTGGTCCAGCAGCTCGGTCAGCTCCGACCCAGACATGTGCCTTAGACCTGCAGGGGGAGACCGACCCGCAGGTGACCACTGCATCCGAGCCAGAGCCCACTGGATGGCTCCTGGGGCCGTGTCTCCCAAGGGGACCCCTCCCACCTCCTTACAGGACGGGGAATTTAGGGGCATCTTCAGGAAGGAAGGGACCCATATACAACGGCCAAAGTGAACACCACTCTCAGGATAACAGAAGAGGAAGAAGAAACCCATGGACTCCATTCACAAAAATGTGCATGGACAGGGACACCTGGGGGGGCTCAGTCGGTGAAGCATCTGCCTTTGACTTCAGGTCATGATCCCAGGGTCCTGGGTTCAAGCCCCATGCTGTTGGGCTCCTTGCTCAGTAGGGAGCCTCCTTCTTTCTCCCTCTGCCTGCTCTGCCTGCCTCTCCCCCTACTTGTGCTCTCTCTTTCTCTAACAAATAAATAAATAAAATCGTTTTTTAAAATGTGCACAGAGGGGTGCCTGGGTGGCTCAGTGGGTTAGGGCCTCTGCCTTCGGCTCAGGTCATGATCCCAGGATCCTGGGATTGAGCCCCGCATTGGGCTCCCTGCTCGGCAGGGAGCCTGCTTCCCCTCCTCTCTCTCTGCCTGCCTCTCTGCCTACTTGTGATCTCTCTCTGTCAAATAAATAAATAAAAATCTTTTAAAAAAATAAAATAAAATAGTGCACGGACAGGGGCGCCTGGGTGGCTCAGTGGGTTAAGGCTCTGCCTTCGGCGCGGGTCATGATCTCGGGGTCCTGGGATCAATCCCCATATTGGGTTCTCTGCTTAGTGGGGAGTCTGCTCCCCACTCCCCCTCTGCCTGCCTCTCTGTCTGCTTGTGATCTCTCTCTCTGTCAAATAAATAAAATCTTTAAAAAAAAATGTGCATGCACAGGCATGTGACTTTTTGATCCCTTCTTCCTCTTCCTAGTTTTCCTCTGTGTCTCTGATATTCCTGGTGCAAAATGGGTCAAGGATCAGGGGGAGAAAACATTCAGAGGAGGTTTTGGGCATATGTGCCGCAAAGCAGGAGAGAGATGGTGTTTGTCCCAAGAACTGATCAAGCTCTAGCCAGCCAGCAATCTCAGCACAGGGGTCTGAGGCCCCCTTCACCCCACAGTCCCACACAGCAGTGCAGAAATTCAAGAAACAAGGGAAACGTGCGGCTGACTGGGACCACAGGCTGAAAAGCATATCCAGGCTGGTCAGTACCGAGCCTGCTGTCAGGGAAAAGGGAAAGGAAGCTGAGATAATGGGATACAGGTAACTTTGTCGTAAATTCTTATCCCCTCAGATTTCTTCATTTAAAATAGATTGGGGGTGGGGGGTGGGGAGTGCCTCTGTGGGCTCAGTCTGTAGAGCCTGCAACTCTCCATCCCAAGGTTACGAGTTCAAGCCCCACGGAGGGCATGGAGCCTACAAAAACAAAACAAACAAACAAACAAACAAAAAGATCTGGGGGGCGGGAGAGTGAGCATCTTCTCAAATTTGTCCCTTTCTAACATCTTTTGTTTCTGCCGCAGCACCCATTTTACTTCTCTGTTCTGTTTCTGCCATGGCCTGTGGATTTGCTGACTTGGTTCACCCTTCCCCTTTATTCTGCTCTTTGGAGCTGTCCCCCTCCTTCTGCCCTTGCCATGTCCCTGTGCACTTGAGCTGTTTTCCTGAGTCTTCGTAGAGCGTGGCTATGTTTGGGGCCTTTGTGTGGCTGAGAACAGCCTGAATAGAGCTCCGTAGCCAAATCAGCCCCGTCATCGCGAGCACATTCCTTCAGCTTTTGCCCTCGCCCGGCCTCTGCTCTTAAGAGCCACAGAGTCTCGGTTCCTCAGACAGCCTCCATTTTCACCCGTGTTCGGACCTCGTCACATGCCCGGCCCGCCTTCCCTCTGCCGTGTTTCTAAGTCCCCGCCGGCCCACACATGTGCCTCCTCCCCGGGAAGGGAGGTTTTCTGGGTGGTTCTATTTCCCCAACAGTGGCATCCAACAAGCCACCTCGCCTCTCAGCACCCTCGACTACCCCAACCGCATGGAGCTGGGGTGGGGATGAAATGAGATGACGCACAGAGACCCTTAGAACTGGTCTGGCACATAGAGATTTTTCCAGAAATACCAGCTATCATGATCATTACCTTTTTCCTTGATCTCATGGGAGCCTCGTTTTGGACAAAGGGTTCCGATTTCTTCTGCTCATTCTGCTTTCATCTTCACCTTTGCTTGGTTTTACCATTTTGACTGGGCTCGATTGCCTTTCCCCCCACCCCCAAAATTTGCTAACTTCTCTCCTGACGCCCAATAGGGAAAGGGTTGCCAACTCCCTGGGTTGGGGGTCCGACTAGGTACGTGTGAAGCGGGTGCCCACGGCCCGGCCCACAGGCAGGAGGGTCCATCCCGGGCAAGGCCACCCGCCAGGCCCCTCACCTTCGTAGGACCAGTTGTTGTTGAAGGTCTGGGTCAAGGCCTGCATCTCCTGCAGGAGGACCGAGTCTGCCTGGGAGGAGGTTTCTCCCTCATCCTCCTCTTCCAGGACCTCCTCTTCTTCCTCAGGGTCTGGGGAGTTCTGCATCATTTCCTCGATCTCCTCAATCACCTGAAGAAGGTACGCAAGAGAGTGCTAACTCTGGTCTCTGCCGGGGGGACATCCCAGCTCAGATTTGGGTCAGTTAAGGATATTTCTAATTTGCTGCCTATAAGATTCCTAAAGCAATATTGTTATTTAATAAATATTGAATAATAATAAAAATAGATCTGACCAAAGGCTTACATACACTCTTCCATTAATGTAAAGCGCTCTAAAATGGGAAATCTCTTCCAAGAACACCATTTAGATGAGTGCTTTATTGGAAATAAACTCCTCTTTCGGGAACCAAAGCAGAGCTGCCTGGAAGGGAACATTGACTTCAATGTGCTGAGCACTTTATTTCTAAGTGGGAAATAATTATCCCCCCAACTTTAACACAAAACCCAGCCCATTAATTGTTACAGTGCTTACGTGGTTCCTAGACCAACTCAAAATGGGGAGGCTTTTTTTTTTTTTTTAGGTAGAGGAAATTTCTCCAGAATTCTCCTAGGTAGGAGCTAAAGCTGCGTAGCCACAAATGCCAAACAAGAAGCTAAAATAACAAAAGGATAGGTGGGGTCTGGAAAACAGAAAGGAACCAAGGAACCCAGCTGTAATCTCCGCTCTTACTAGGGATCTGTTCCTAGAAGAGAGAGCTAAATCAAAGGATTGCCAGAGGAAGACAGGAGAGCCGCTCTGTTCATTAACTGCTGACACATAAAGAAAATGGAAGAAGCAAAGACAGTCTGAAAGGCGTCCATGGATGTCTGGTCACGACAGGGCACTCATGCATTTGTCTGTCCTTGATTCTGTGACGGGTTCAGGCTCCAGGCCCCTCGGCCTGGTGCTCTCTGAGGCCGGCTTCTTCACATCAGCTGGACCAAGGACAAGAGGACTTAGGGTGCCTGCCTTAAGAGCAATTTCTATTTTATTCCCACACCTTCTCACTTCCATTCAGCAAATTTGGGGAATACTTAGTCTTTGCTTCCTGAAAGCCATTTATAAAATGCAAGCAAACGACAAGCCCCCTTCAGAAATTTTACGGCTGACTTTCTCCTTCTCTCACAGAGAACTTCTCGCTAACCTTGGATCACTGAATTGCATTTCTCCTACAGTTCACAAGAAGAGCTGTCAGGCCCTCTTCTCTTTTCATCTGGTGCCCTTCAATCTCTTGACCCTTACCTGTTTATATCCCACCTTTTTGCCTCAGATCTGAAAGAGTTCCTTTGGCCGAAAAGTGCTTTCTGGCACCACAGGCTCCTGGTGGAGCTTTTTCGGAACTACTCTGTGAAAACCTTGTATGGTTCCTGCTCAAAAAGTTGCCCAGAAATATTCATTGACCAAAAAGTTGAAAAAAGAATCCAGAGACCCAAGATGATTCCCTCCTAAGTAATAAATGACTAAAGCCAACATTTAACTAATTCAATCAAATGTCAAGCACTATCTTTTTTTTTTTAATTAAACAAAGTCACAACTGTCCATTAAGACTCCTTTTGGAAGGCTCAGCATTTTGGGTATTCTGTGAAATATGAGAAAATACCCATCGTACAAAAGCCTCAACTGTCACCTCTATTTTTGCAAGAATAAGTCTTTGGGACCCTCATTTAAGTGTCTTGACTCTTTTTTTTCCATTTTATTTCTTTTCAGCGTTCCAGTATTCATTGTTTATGCACCACACCCAGTGCTCCTTGCAATACATGTCCTCCTTAATACCCACCACCAGGCTCACCCAAACCCCCAGCCCTCCTCCCCTCCAAAACGCTCAGTTTGTTTCTCAGAGTCCACAGTCTCTCATGGTTTGTCTCCCTCTCCTGATTTCTCCCAACTCACTTAATGAGATTGTACTCTGAGGCTTAGCAAGAACTGAAGCCAGTCAACACCGGACCTATCTCTGGCTATAATCAAACATGAGTCCTGCCCAACCCAAGGGTCAGGAATTATGTTCCTATTTACTGCAGGTGGGTAAACTGAGGCCTAGAGAGAAATGAATTCCCTTACCAAAGACACTCCAAGTCATCAACCCAGGCAACCATGAGACCATACATTTGTCTTTTGCTTTAAATGGACACGACACGTATGTACTCAGACTTTTTCTTGATCCAAAGAACAAAAAGTCCCAAGAACCAAGATAAACATTCATACCTGATCTGCTGTGAGTAGAGGCTCCTCATTGATACCAGAATCATGTTCACTCTTCTCATTGAACTCTTCCTCTTCTTTCTCATGGATCTGAAGGGGGGTGGGGCGTGGAATTCTGATTGATCATCAGCAGAACTAGGGTTCTCTTTACTGTCTGGTCTCTAGAACAGACGACACGGACTGAGAGGCCCATCCGGCCATCCGCTGTGTGAGGAGGGAATCTGAAGAGATGCCCAGAGTTTCATCCAATTCCAAACATACCCCTTCTGCCTCCCCGAGTCCAGCAAGAGCATCTGACTCAAAGGAAGGAGCACTGTTCCTTAGCCCACAGATGGGTCGTCCCTGCATGAACAGGGTGAGTGATACCTTCCTGCATCGAAGCCTCTCTTACTTAGACGAGGAATTTCAATCTGGGGGGCTGTTTCCAGAGTGCACTGGTTGAGGCATTTTAAAGGGTGGGTTGTTCCAGTCCAAAGAGTCAAGCTTTGACTGGACTGGACACAAGGCCACCCTGTGACGGGAATCTAGGTGTGAGGTCACGGCTGCTGAAGGGGGTGCTGAAGCTACATGAAACGTGCCAGGGAACAACCCGACCACGTGAACTGAGGCCCGGACAAAACAACAACAACAATATCAAAACAGGTGTCCCATTCCTCAGAGATCCCACAGTGCCAAGTAAGATTCTGGAAGTTCACAACCACTGAGAGTCTGGATGTTGCAATCCAACAAGATATTCACAGCACATCTGGCTTTCCTAACCATATCCCAAATGGCCACTGCCCGGCATTTATGTTCAAATCCTGCACAAAATCAACCCCTAAGCCACCCAACAATTTGTCTATGTCCAGAAGTCCGATCTGAAAGTCATTTAGGGGCTGGCGAGGGGTGCCTCCAGGAAATCATTCTGCAAAGACACCTCTCATCCAGGAACCAATTGGACTTGCTCATGGTTAGCTGGCTTGCTGATGGGCCGCTTTCCTGGGATTACGCTTCTGCTCTTCCAACAGAAGACGCCCAGTTCCCTCCCGAGCAACCATGTCAGAGATAAGCCATCCTTAGGAACTTCTCCCCTAGCCTTTGAGCTCCACCTTGCCAGACATGCCTAACAAAACACATCACCTTCTATCTAGGTTTGCTTAAAACCAGGACTCTGTCATTAAAAAAATTAATCAAGTGCATCTTAAATGCCATCTGCGCTCCACCTGGGTAAGGGGTAGGGCAGGGAGGTAATGGGATCATCCGAGGGGCTTGTATGCCAGATGGTGACATCTATTTCTGCTGGCGAACCCATATGCTCCTCTCTCTGCCAGGTGTACCACCGGTGGTAGTCGCCTGGCTTCCGCACTCCCCACTCTGCCAACCGAAGCCCCTGGAACCTCGGTTTGTTCATGACTACACGGCTAGGGCAAACTTTCTCGGGGCCAAAAAGGCCTGCGTTGGAAGTCACCCTGGGAGAAACAGAGTTCCTCATTTTCTGTTAGGATTCTTTTTTATAAGCAAGTGTTAGTCTATAACCAGAAATTTTGGGGGTGGGGTGGGGGGTGCCGGACAATAAGTGTATTCTAAAGATGGACGGTCTTTCTGAGACAGGGCCAGTTTCCACTGTTAGTAGAGCATCGTTGAGCTAAACCACCCCCCTTCAGGAGGTCTTCCCTCTGAGTTCCTGGCGGAAGGCGGAGAGGAAGCTTGTAGGGATAGACCCATCTTGTCATTTTTAAATGTTATTGAACCTGAATGGAGGTGCATGGAGCCCTCTTAGAGCTGTCTCTCCTCTCCCCGTCTCTGGCACAAAGCCTACAGGTCTGACTTGTCAGGCTTGGGTGAAAAAAGACCCGAAAATGACCTATAATCACTGCTAAGTTTCCCTGAGTTCTAGGATTGTGGGAGCTGCACCTACCCCACGCTTCCTCAGACCTCAGAAGTGTGCCACTAAGAAGTAAAATAGAAAGAGAAGCAAACAGGGGCGCCTGGGTGGCTCAGTGGGTTAAAGCCACTGCCTTCAGCTCAGGTCGTGATCCCAGGGTCCTGGGATCGAGCCCCGCATCGGGCTCTCTGCTCGGCAGGGAGCCTGCTTCCCTTCCTCTCTCTCTGCCTGCCTCTCTGCCTACTTGTGATCTCTGTCAAATAAATAAATAAACTCTTTAAGAAAAAAAAAAAAGAAAGAAAGAGAAGCAAACACAAGTACTTAAAGGAAGCCCGGGCTCCTTCCGTCTCCCCAGTGTGGACAACCCCTGCCTCTGCTTTCACCACACCCAACCTGTATCTGGCCTTTCCTCCTCCCTCCCTAGGTCTCCTGTTCTTGTCCCTTGGCGCTTCTCCAGGCTCCTCCCACATTTCCTCCCAGATCTCGAAGACTGTTCCTCCCTGACCCCTCTGTCACTTCTCAGTGAGCCCTCTCCTCTTACACATGCCGCTGAGAGGATCCCGACCTGCCAACCTGCCCTTCCTTATCGTGACAGTATCTTGTGCAGAGAGTATAAAGCTGGATGGGGATTAACAGAAGAAAAGAGAAAGAACTTTGAAAGATGATGCCATTTATATATATGGATAGGATTATGTGATTTACACACACACACTTAGGCAGGGGGAAGAGTGTATGTATACTCTTACTCTTTTTTTTTATTAAAAAATTTTTTGTTAAGATTTTAGTTATTCGACAGAGAGCACAAGCAGGCAGAGCAACAGGCAGAGGGAGAGGGGGAAACAGGCTCCCCACTGGGCAGGGAACCCCATGCGGGGCTCGATCCCAGGACCCTGGGGATCATGACCTGAGCTGAAGGCAGATGCTTAACTCACTGAGCCACCCAGGTGCCCCTACTCTTATTCTTAATATATGACAGAGACCTAGAAATCGCCACAGGGAGTTCCTTTACCCTCTCAGGTGACAATGAGAAGGCTAAAGCCACAAACAGCCCGCAGGCCAGGTCATCTGGGGCTGAATTTCTCTGTAGACTGAAACTCAAGTTGGTTCCACACTGTAGAAGTGAACTATGGCTCTTCCAAGAATTATCATTCTTCCAAGAGACTTCTTTCCAGAACGGAGGAGAGAAGACCTAGAGGCAGAAAAGTTCTGGCCATCTTCCTCCCTGGCAAGCTGTTTCTTCCTTCTGCTTTCCGTAAAGGGTGTGCCCTTAGGGCTGTGATGTGGTAGCTTAAAGCTTGACAGTAAATGAGGGAATCTTCCCTGGGCCCTAACTGCCACTAAATCTTGCCGCACAAAGTCTGTGTGAGGACTAAAATGACGCTGAGTCCTTGTGTTCAATAGCGACTGTTAGCCGTGGGCTCTCACCAGAGCAATCCAGAAGATTCTATTCACAAGAAAGGGAGTCTCCACTGCCTTGTATTTCCCTCCCCTTATCACAGTTGTTCCACATAGGTGGTTCCTTCTTGACCAAAATTAAGAAAACAAAGATCCATTTTCACCTTCACTCAACAAGTTAAAAAAAAAAAAAAAAAGTCCACGGCAGGCACCCAGCCCAAGGAAAGGACAACTACATCCCTTCATGCTTGTGAACAACCGGGAAACATCTGTGTGAGGTTAAGTCAGTGTCTCTGAATCCCCACAGTGAGACGCACCAGAGCATAGCAAATAGCATGTAGACAACAGACGTTTCTGGAAAGAATTAATGAACAAATAATGAAAGCGAGAAGAATGGTTGCACGATCACCTCCTACAGTCAGTCCAACTCCACACACAACTTAGCTGCTCAGTTACCTGGAAAACAGAAGGCCTGGACTCACTGTCCAGACTTGACTTCCTCTTGTCCAAGACAACCACCACCTGCTCTTAATCACAGTAACAGGGATAAAAGAGACTATCTTTTATATAAGCCAAGGACAGAATATTGATAAACTGAAAAATCCAGTAAGTGTGGAGAGCTGTAAATAATAATATTACATAACTCGAGCATATTAGTTTGACCTAAAAATATAAGAATATACTTGTTTTTCCCCAAGCTCTTAATGTAAGGTCAATGCCTTTTTCTCCATGATGGGTCTCTGAATAGAGGTTCCACATTGTCTTTCTTCTATCATCCACATCAGTACACCATTTTTTAAGTGGGCCCGCATTCCCATTTTTTTTAAAGATTTTATTTATTTATCTGAGAGAAAGAAAGAACAAGAAAGAGAGAGACAGGGCGCCTGGGTGTCTCAGTGGGTTAAGCCTCTGCCTTCGGCTCAGGTCATGATCCCAGGGGCCTGGGATCGAGTCCCGCATCGGGCTCTCTGCTCAGCAGGGAGCCTGCTTCTCCTCATCTCTCTCTGTCTCTCTGCCTACTTGTGATCTCTCTCTCTGTCAAATAAATAAATAAAATCTTTAAAAAAAAAAAAAGAAAGAAAGAGAGAGAGGGAGAGCATGCAGGGAGAGGGAGAAGCAGACACCCTGCTGAGCAGGGAGCCCGATGTGGGGCTCGATCCCAGGACCCTGGGATCATGACCTGAGCCGAAGGCAGATGCTTAACCCACCTGGGTGCTCTCCATTTTTTTAATAACAGAAGGAAGACACTTAGGGGATTGAGCACATACGTTTATCTCCTCTTCCTTCTGAAACCCTACTGAAGTGAGAGCAAAAGGACAAAAGAGAATATCCTACAGGGACAAAACAAACTGAGGAAAGACAACAGTGAACGAGATGCCAGAGGGCAGATGCTGAGCTAGTAGGCTAGAGGGTTAAGCCCTGTGGGAGAAAGCTTCCCAAAGTATGTGCTTTCACTCCAAAAATGCTCAAAGGCTCGGGAATTGGAGACTGGGTGGGGGGCACTGGGAGGTGGGGCTACAAGAGGAAGGATCTGCCAGGATTCTTCATAGGAGCAGTAAGACCCCAAGTCTCTTCTCTCCCATGAAGAAAGGCAACTACCATCCCCCCACCACCAAGGAAAGAAGAGGAGCTTTCACTTTGGAAAGGTTGAACTAAGGGGACCTGTACACAAGAGACACCAGGTCACCTGAAAGCTGGGGTGAGGGATCGTGCCCAAAACAGAGGGATTAAGTGGAAGTCTACATACTCACCAGAGACCCTCAGCCTCTTGCCCTGATTAGGCTCCAAGAACGCTAGCAGCCAGGCTTATCTTCCTCAAGCAAAACACTGG